ACGAACACAGGGTGAAATTTAGGAAGCCCAAAAGAGAGCCAGTTTGGTGTAGTGGTTAGGAGAGCAGACTCTAATCTGGGAGAACTGGGTTTGATTCCCCACTCCTCCACATGCAGCTGCTGGTGTGGCCTTGGGTCAGTTACAAGTTCTTTCAGAGTTGTTCTCTCACGAGCAGTTCTTGAAAGAGCTTTCTCAGTCCCACCTACCTCACAGGGTGTCTGTTGTGGGGAGGGGGAGGGAAAGGAGATTGTAAGCCACTCTGAGACTCCTTCGGGTAGTGAAGGGCGGGGAATAAATCCAATCTCTTCTTCTTATCAGCAAAGAAGTACTAGACACAGATCTGTCTAATACTTCTCATTCACTCCTCACTGGACCTAGAATCATTCACTGTGGGGGAGTCCACATGCAGTCACAACAGTGCCTTGGATTCACTGGCAATGGAAAGTTTGCATAGTGCAGCATTTTGATCTCCCTTCTCCTGAACCCTGAAATGCTGCTCCTGTGGCACTGGGGGCACCCAGGAACAGGATGCGGGGTTTTTTTTTGGAGGACTGCTACAAGAGGGGCAAATGGCAGAAGTCCTCCATGGGATCTGAGCCAAAGGCATTGATTTGTGACCTCCAGGCTTAAAAGAGTTTAAATGCAAAGAGACCATGACCCTCAGCACACAGTGTTTTTCGATGGCAGCAGTTCACAAGTTCAGCTGTGAGTCAGTCATCGACCAGGCATGGCTTGATGACATCTTGAGTGACGTGCACGCCTGTGGGAAATAAATGCTGAGTCTTTTGGAGAGATGAGAAAGGGCTGTGACAGAACCTTGTGTGATGCAAGCTGAAGCAGAGGGTCCACTGTCCTATGGTGACATACCCAGCAGTCCTGCTGTCTAAATTCAGCTTCACATACTGTAATTTTCCTGGACGGAATGGACTTCTCTAAAGGAAAATGCATAAAACCTGCGTGTAAACCATGGCATGTGCACTTGCAGAAAATAGCATGGATTTTGGATTGTCATGCATTTTGGTCCCTGTGTGGAATTCATGCATGTCCCTACACTGAAGTGCATTTCTATGCAGGGGAATTTCCACGTTGCCCCACTACAGGTGTCTAGGCTGGCAGCGATGGCCGCTTGGGCGGCATGAGATCTTTGCCACTCCATTGGCAGAGACAGAGGAATTAGAGCACAAGGCAGAAGGCTGCAGGGGAGGAATGAGGCACAGCAGTCAGGCTGTGCTCTAATGGTCTATGTAGCAGGTGTGACCGAACTGTTTTACCACATGATGTAGTGCTAGGGTTGCCAGCTATGCATTGGGAAATACCTGGAGATTTTGGGGGGTGGAGTTTGGAGAGGGGAGGGACCTCAATAGGGTATAATGCCATAGAGTCCAACTCCCAAAGCTGCCATTTCTCCAGGTGAACTGATCTCTGCTGCCTGGAGATCGGTTGTGACTGCGGGAGATCTCCAGCCACCGCCTGGAGGTTGGCAACCACATGTAGCCCCTGAGGAAGGAAAAAGAAGAATTCCAGATAGCCAAGTTTGCTCTTGTTCCTGCTCTCCCCCTTCTTCCACCCACATCCTTCAACTGAGGAAGGCTGGCTGGGAGGACAGCAAAGCAGAGCAGGAGAGCTGGCAGTGCTGCCGACACAACTTCAAATGAATCATCTGAAGGGCTGGGGAGGAAGACAGCTAGAGGGTGGCTGGAAGCTGGAAGACACAGGGAAACGCAACCTTTCCTATCGTCCAATGTAGCAGTTCAGGTGTTGGACTTGGAACCAGAGAGGTTAAAAATAGGGCCAAGGGCAATGGTGCAAAATCAGGTTAAAATATACTTTATTACTCAGTCACATTTCCAAAAATTCCCCTACGCATTTCACCGACAGGCTTAGTCGGGGGAACCTGTTTGTCTTGCAGTAGTTCTTCAGAAAGAGTAAAAGACCAGTAGCTCAGAAGCAGAGAGATGCAGATTCAGACACCCGCTCAGAATTGAAACCCACTCTGGGCTAGTCACTCTCTTCTGGACTAATCTCTACCCCACAAGGCTGTTGTGAGGATAAAATGGACAACTGGGGAATTGGAAAGACTAAAGAATCTGGGCCTTTTTAGTTTAGAGAAAGATTACTAAGGAGGGAACATGACAGAGGTTTATGAAATGGTGTGTGGGATGGAGATAATGGATAGAGAAAACTTTTCTCTCCTTCTACTGCAATACTAGAGTTTGGGGGGGTACGCAATGAAGTTGAGGGGCAATAGATTCAGGAAGTACTGGTCCACTCATCAAGTGAACTTAAGTACATTGTGGAATTCACTGCTAGTGGATGCAGTGACAGTTGACAGCAGAGCTGGCTAGCCAGATTCACATTTACGTGCCCAGGGAAATGCTGATTGCCTATTTGGGGAAGCCATTTTTCTCATAATTGTACAAGGTGAAATATATAAATGTATGATAAATTAGGCATGAGTTTATCAAACAAGGAACTGTAAGAACAATTTTTCCTCTTTTTTGTTTTTGTCTTTAAAATAAAAAAACTTGGGGGGGGGGAATCCCAATCATCTCCTGCCTCTAACATGGCTTTTTAAATTGTGGGAAGAATTTTTTTGCCCTCTTCTGGGCATAGAGTAGGGGTCACTGGGGGTGGGGGAAGGTAGTTGTGAATTTCCTGCATTGTGCAGGGGGTTGGAATAGATGAACCTGGAGATCCCTTCCAACTCTATGATTCTGTGAGGGATAGGTCTATCAATGGCTACTAGCCATGCTGACTAAAGGGAACCTCCATATCCAGAAGGAATAAACCTCTGAATACTGTGCCAGGTGGCGACAACATCAGGGGAAGGTCTTGCTCTTATGCCCTGTTTGTTGACTCTCCAGGGCGGCTGTCTGACTACTGTGAAACAGGATGCTAGACGAGAGGGACCACTGGTTTGATCCAGCAGCGTCCTTCTTATATTTTTAACTATGCACATCACAATGAGTTCCTTGGAGGAAGGGTAGGGCAAAAATGGGACAGGACAGTAAGGATGGAACACGGCCACGGTGGGGAGAGGTGATATTTGAAGGGAAATGCAGCAATATGAGCAGCTGTTTGGGAATACAATACCATTTATATAGTACTTTTAGTGTACAAAGCAATTCCAGTATATTTTCACAGTAATCCTTACATCAGCCCTGTAAAGGACGCCAGTATTATTCTCTCCAGGAAGAGATGGAGGATTGAGGCTGTGTATAGCTGTGATTTGGAACAGCAGCTTTCCGGACCAACACTCATTCTCTGTGCTGCACCAGTGGGTTTATTGGATAGGAAGATTCAGGGCAGAGTAAGAAATGGCTGGGGCAGAAGCAGCAAGCCTTAGTAGCCTTTGGCCAAAAATGTCTCTATGCAGTTCTTCAGCTTAGAAAAACAGAGTGGGGGTTATGCTAAATTATATTTCTGGAGTACAGAACCAACCTTGATGTGATAAACACCTATGAAAAAAGATGGTGGTGAAAAGTGCCATCCAGTTGCGGCCAATTTAAGGGAACCCTGTAGAGTTTTCCAGGCAAAGAGATGTTCACCTCTGCCCTTGCCTGCCTCTGCACAGCACCCCTGGAGCTCCTTGGTGGTCTCCCATCCCAGTACTAACCAGGGCTGCCTCTGCGTGGTTGCTGAGATCTGAGGAGACTAGACTAGCCTGGGCCATTCTGATCCAGACAAAAAGAGGGAGAGCGAAATACCCCCCCCCCAAGAATATGAGGAGATGAACCTGTGCCAAGATGCACGTCCACGTAACTGAGTCGGTTTTTGCCTCGGTCCTGAAGACAGCAAGATCAGTGGGTGGGATGCAGCATCAGGGAAGCTTGTGGATACTGTAGGTGAAGCAGCATATCACAAATGTACATTTGTTTTGTGTGCTTTTAGCAGTGAGTTCCATCGGGGATATTGCTGTGACTTGCATATTGTGCTTGTGCATACATGGATGTGCCAACTTGCCAGATAATTAAACATCTTTCCAAATGTGATACAGATGGACACAATGCAAAGACTTCTCTCCCCCCCTTTCTCAAATGGGAATAGTAACTGCAAAGAGGCTTACTCAAAGGATCGGGGTGGCCACTGTATGGTGTCTGATGTTCAGGATGCTTTGCGCCCAAAGGTTTCCATTTGGCAGCCAGGACAATTTCTTTCACCGCTAAACCCCTGGAGTCTGCAAACTGGGCAACAGTGGTTAAAGCTAAGGGCTGAGAGGCAGTAGGACTCCTGGGTTCTCTCTTCTCCCCCCCCCGTCTTTGTGCCTCAGTTTTCTTTCTTAGGCTGGGATATGCCATATCCCATTCAAGGAAAGCTCCATATCTGACATGGAACAACTTACCAATACATGAAAAAACCCGAATAAGGAAACAAATGTGTTTCTCCATTGTGCTGAATGTGTTCCAAGCTCCTTTAAAAGGGGAGGGAGGGCCTTCTTCTTTCTCCGGTGCAATGGCAGTAGGTCTCGGAGACCCGTCCCCCCAAACCTCCAGATCGCCGAACATATCAGACCACCACATTCTGCCCTCCAAAGTGGAGTGAGATCCAACCATCAGTCGGTGGAAAACGACCCACAGATCGGCAGGAGCCTCTGCCAACCCCGCAGGTTTGGGATCTCAGCGCCCGCTCTATCCAACAAAATGGAGGGTCGCTGACTACTGGGCACCTTGGTTAAGGGCAGGGCGGGCCTCTCCCTTCCTCTCCTCCTACCCGGAGCATCTTCTCCGGCGGGCGCGCTGGCTTGGGTGGTTCCCCTTCCCCTCTTCTCCCGGCGACGGGGCTGCAATGCGGGGCTCTGGGCCGCATCCAAGAGAGGAGGAGCCTGTGACCCCCCCTCCGCCCCCTCCCTCTCTTCCCAACTTGGGCGCCTATAAAGCCGCCTCGCCCGGTGCCGGCGCCTTCTTCTCCCGCCCGAAACTTCTGCTGCCGGCCCCCTCGTGCGCCAGCGCCACTCACCACCACTCGCCCCCCTCTCTCTTTCTCTCTCTCTCTCCCTCCCCCGCGCCGCAGCCATGAGCCACTCCAGCGGCATGCGAGCCACCTCGTACCGCCGCACCTTCGGGCCGCCCCCCATGCTGTCCCCGGTGTCGTATTCCTCGTCCCGCTTCGCCTCCTCGTCCTCGGCCACGCGGCTGCTGAGCACGCCTTCGCCCGGGGCCTCCTTGCGCTCCTACCGCAGCGGCGGCGGCGTCCTGCGCTCCAGCACCCCGGCGCCGCCGCGGATCGTCTACAGCAGCGAGAAGCTGGACTTCTCGGTGGCCGAGGCGCTGAACCAGGAGTTCCTGGCCACGCGGAGCAACGAGAAGCAGGAGCTGCAGGAGCTCAACGACCGCTTCGCCAGCTTCATCGAGAAGGTGCGCTACTTGGAGACGCAGAACGCCGCCCTGCTGGCCGAGCTGGGCCAGGCCCGCTCCAAGGAGCCCGCCCGCGCCGCCGACCTCTTCCAGGACGAGCTCCGCGAGCTGCGCAGGCAGGTGGACGCGCTGGGCAAGGACCGCGACCGCCTCCAGGTCGACCGCGACAACATGGCCGAGGACGTGGCCGCTCTCAAGCAGAGGTGAGGAGAGGGGGCGGGGCCGCTGGCCGGGGCACCTGGGTGGGCGGGCGGGCAGCGGGGAGGACATTGGACAACCTGGGCCCGGGCGAGGAATGAGTCTGCAGCTTTGGTTTCTGCGGTAGATTTGAAGCGCCGGGTGGAGGGTGATAGCGGCTGGGGGCTAGAGCCTTGACGATTTGGGGTGGTGGGAGCGGGGAGGAGAGTTAGAGAGTCCATCTGAGCCAGGCTCGGCCTCTCGCTGTTTGAATGGCAGTTCCTGGGAACAAATGGAATAATCAGGAAGAGGGTATCTCTGAGCATATGCTGAGTGCATTGCAGCATGGACCAGTGAACTCGGGTCAGTTTGAATGCTGGTAATTTTTAGAGACTTGGCAACAGTTCTGTCATCCAGAGAAGACTTTTAGCTGATCGCAGTGGAGCATCAGGACTCCTGAATGGGGGAGAGGGTTGGATCTAATGGGTTACTGCACGGTATAGATTTGGGTGCTAGGAGTTCAGAGCTGGGGACTGAACCCAGAAGAGAAGTGCATTGACTGATAACAGCAGGCCAATTGAGCCCATGTGAGTTCTGTCTCTAATCCAGAGGAGTGGAGAAAGAGTGGTCTAGTGTTGGTCACCATAAGACAGTAAGACATATTCTGAGCTGTAATATCTTTCTTTCCTTATTTGTAGTTTTCTCCAGAATCAAAGGAGACACGAAGCACCAAAAATTAGCATAATACTTGACATTTCTGCATTATATCAAATTAGAGGTCCAGTGGTGCCTTAAAGACTAACAATGTTTATTCTGGCATAAGCTTTCACAGCTCACTTCATCAGGTGCCTGGAGTGTACATTTCTGGCAGATATAGGTATAGTTCAAGTTACTAGCAACAGAAAGGCAGGAGTGGGGAGATACTAGTTAGAAACAATAACCAATCAAAGAGAAATCAGTCAGTTCAGAGCTGGTGCAGACCACACCCAACTGTTGATAGATGGACAGAGCAGGGAAGAGATTAAATCAGATCTAATCAAGGATGGTGCAATTGAAGACATGATGAGCCGATCTAGATAGGTCCGTTCTACAAAGATAAAGCTGGACTAATTAACAAATGGTGGCTTATGTGGAGCCTCTGGAATTAGCTCCATATGATATAACGTTTTTAGAAAATCAGAACCAACTATATTTATGTAATTCTTTCTCTTCTTCATTGAGTAAATATTCCAAATGGGTCTAATACAAATAATGCATTGCTGCTTAGCAATCAGAACAGTTTTCCTTCGGCATTCTAAGCTTAACTTCAGTGGGGATGGTGGGAATTTGATGGTGTGGGGCTGGTGTGGACTGGGGGGCCAATGTCTGCCCCCAATTCTGTGAAAGGGTTTAATGGTTGCAAGCACAGTAACTCTTGAATTTGCTCTCCTTGCCTCTACCCCAATGCTGAAAAAGGCATTTAATGTGCACCTGGGATTCCAGGCATTTATCCCAAATTTTGGAACTTGGAGTTGAAGGCTGGAGGCTCAAGGTGAGGGTAGATGAGACAGCAATCCTGAAATACAACCCCAGACTGCAGAGGATAATTTGGTAGCTTATTTCTGGTCCAGCTCTGCATGGGGACTGTGGACAGATAGAAAGGACGAATGGGAATCGGTGCTCTCTGTTGATGAGCCAATGGAGGGGTGTCTCATATCTAAAACAGGGAAGCTACTTTGTTTGTAGCACAATAAGGAGCAGTGCTTTTAATGGCATGCTCGATGGAAGAAGATGACTTTTGGGATCCTGAGGAAGGCTGATATGCATAGCAAAGAAGTATATTTGCTAATGGATCCTTGAGGGGCCAGTGAGAGGATAAAACCTATAGTGGGGACAGACTTCCATCAATAGAACACCATGTATGTGTAAGAGTGGGGGGTTCTAGTTCCACCAAGGCAGGAAGGCATGGGACTTCAGTGTCCAGGAATGGGGAAGAAGATCTGACTGTAAGGGTGGGACAGTGGGGAATAGTGGCTGGACCGAACCACCAGACGTTGGCAGGGAATGAGAAGAGGGATGGGCGTCTGGTGAAGTTTGGACCCTCCTCCTGTAGTTATGTTGCAGCCATGAGATGTTGGGGTGGGGCAAGGAGAATGGAGTGACTATGTGACTTGGCAGCAGAGGAGCAAAAGGGTGTAGCAAGGGAGAATGCCATACCAAGAATCCCTTCTGTGGAAGGACTCTGTATATCACGGTGGTAGTACAGTGGTATGGTGGAATTGCTGTGAGTTGGCAAACATAGGCGTGAACGGGATGTCAAATGGATGCCGCTGGTGTGATGGGGCACCTGCACTGGTCTCATTGCTTGTGTGTAGGGGGTCCAGTTTGGCTTATAATGGGGCCAGTGTGATGCATGCATCACTAACTACTCCAGTGCATTTTTTAAAAGGAACAAAATAATAGGACAGAAAAACAGAGACTGCATTCCCCAAGTCTCTGTGGGGTGGGGTTTGAGTTTCCGCATCCTGGCATAGCTTGTGCTATGGCAGATGGGGGTGGGGGGAGAGAAGAGGGACAAGGCGCAGACAAGCGTCAGGATCCGAAGGCTGGAAGAGAAATGGGCGTGGTCCTTTATGCCTGCACCATGACGGGGCAGCCTCTTGTCCATTCTTTCCTCCTCCTGAGTCAGCCAGGGTAGGACTGATGGACAGAAGGTGCTGGGAGAAGAAAAAAGGTGTGGCCAAAGGCCACTGTGAAAATATCTCCTTTTTTCTCCAAAAGAATAGGTTATGCTAACTCTCCCTTACCAATAGAAATCTATTAATGCAGCCAAATTCTGCAAAGTGCTTCCAGCAAAGCCTTTCCAAGGTTGCCTTAATTTCTTCTCTATCTTCTCTATCAGCCAAACTGTCCAAACCCCAATCATTTCACTTACTGGTCAGTCTTTTACTTCCACTCACTCCTTGTGTCGACCATCTAATATCAGTAGCTCCTCTAGGTAGGGGCTTCCATCACCCCTTCTATATAGTACATAGTATGAAGTCACTAAATGCTAGGGAGCTGGATAAGATGGACATAGTGATCATCTGCTAGGTGTTAGCCTGATTCCCGCTTTATGTACAGCAGGGGCTAGGGGTGGGTATAGACCAGTGTATACAGAGGTCAGAACCAAGACTCCGTTTTCCCAACAGAAAGTGACAACGCAATTGGGTGATTATAAAAATAAGTTGTTCTCTTTACTAAATAACAATTAGTTTCACAAACATACAAACAGAATCATACATTCACACATACATACAAGGTTCCTTTAGCAATAAAGAGAAGAATACAAAATAGTTTCCTTAGTTACTTGGGAGTCTTGAGTAGGTATTTCGCTCCATACTTGCCTGATCAGAAGCTCTTGGAACTGTAGCAGCAGAAGATTGAAGACTAAGGGAAGGGATCCCTAAGATTGTACTTGCTCTTTTGCTAGAACCAGCCAGCTTTGTGGGCATGAAATGTCTCTGGCTGTACATCCCAGAGAGATTCCTGCACAAAGAGTCTTTTACCTAAAGGGAAGGGAAGGAGGGGTGAGGTTGGCTAGCCAGCAGCCCAGAACAAAAGTGTGCTCTTCGTTATATTCCAGGTGGGAGGCGCTTTGCCTGCTCGGATGTCCCACCTTTCTGTAAGACCACCCATGATTGCTCTGGGTTGGTTGAGTGTGGAAATGGGCAGGTATACCCTATGGGAGTGGCAATGTTGTAATTCTAGACCCTAGAATTAGCATATCAGTGCAGGCAGCACATCAGCATAGCAGCTTTCCAAATGCAGCAGACCAAAGCACACAGTTCTCCCAAACCCATACATAATGCAAGTACACTCCATACATACATATATCAGCACAATACAAATAAAATACTATTTTAAGCACATTCCTTAACATAGGCATTAAGCATGATGCAGGCTAGCAGGGAAAGGCACCAGCAGGAGTTTCCATACACGTAGCCTGTTTGACTGCATCTGGTCTGCAGTCATCTGGTATGGCTCCTGAAGTCAGAGGGGGATAGAAACAGATCGCCTCTCGCTGGCACAGAAAAGGGGGCATTGGAATGTATGGGACAGACCAGAACATAATCATAGATCGGTGGGGTTACAGCTGGGTCAGTGCAGTCAATATGATGTTGAGCTATAATTAGCCCCGTTTCTAGCCCTCTGCTGCTCTCTGCCTCCTGCAGGCTGGACGAGGAGATGCACAAACGCGAAGAAGCTGAAAATAACCTGGTTCTGTTCCGCAAGGTAAGCATTCCTGCTGGTGGAGCAAGGCAGAGGGAGTGGCCCTGCTTGGCTCTCTCGTGCTTCCTTCGTGCTTGTGGACATGCAGGCTCGCCAGATGTTGATGCTCCGTTTGTGCTTGCAGACGTGCAGGCTCACCAGGTGTTCTCTGGTTGGTATCCCCTGTCACTGTTACATGGATATGCCTTTTTGGTGCCATCTTGCTCCAGGATTAGCACCGGAGGAGTTGTCAAGCCCACCTCTTCAGTGCCATTTTGGGCAATGCATGAGCTGTCCATTGTGCTGAATTAAGGTCTCATGCTCCACCTTCCACTGCTCCCGCCTCCCAAGCAGCTGCAGTGGCAGTGGGTGGGTGTTTTGCCTGCTTTCTCTTATGCATTATACATTAAAGTGGAAAGAGAAGGGTTGCTTGTTGTGTTTCTAATTCTGGTTCTGTTTCTCCTCTTCCTGTGGCATCCTAGGATGTGGATGATGCCACCCTTTCCCGCCTGGAGCTGGAGCGCAAGATTGAGTCCCTCATGGATGAGATTGAATTCCTCAAGAAGCTGCATGAAGAGGTAAGGAAATAAGGGCACTGTCATCGAGGCCGAGGGTGGGTGACCCCCTCCCCAATTTATGCTTAGAGATATTGTCCTTTGTCTTGTTGGTGTAGAAACTCTTGAGAAACCAGCAGAACCCTCTAAAGTTGACCTAACCCACAGGACAGGTGGGCCACGTCTCCTGGTTCTTGCTGCCCCCCCCCATTGCACGGGCTGGGGTCTGTCTCCTGTGCTCACTTAGCAATTACATTACCCCAACCCAGTGGCTAGCCATGGGGGGGTGAGGTGAGAGTTTTAAAAGAGGCAGCAGAATTGGGCACACATCAGAAATGATGCAGTTGGGTTTGATAGGGCGGGAGGGACTGTGGTGTGAGATCCCATCCAGAGCTCTTTAATATTCATAGGCCTGAGCCATGTTGCTTGTGCCCCATCTAGTGGTGAATAACAGCACTGTAGCTGCACCCCCAGCCCCACCCTTGGTAGTACGAGCAAAAGTTTACGCACAGGATTATCATGGTGGGTTTGCAAGCCTGATCCGGCTGAGAAAGCTTCTACATGGAGCCAGTTGTCTCTTACATCCCTTTGGGGTTTTTTTCATCTGTCTGTCTGGCAGTGGGCATGTGTCTCGTGAAGCTGCTGTTCTGACTGTGGCAGGTCTACCCTTATGCCCTTATGTGCTCCTTGCCTGGCCTCTGTGGACTACTCTAATCACAGTGCATAATATTTTTGTCTTTACGCATGGTTGGTATACACACACCTGTGAATAGGTTTCTTTGTGTTTCATGCACCTTGTTTTGTGGGTGTACTGTCTCACGTGTGGTTGCCACTGTGTACGTCCATGTTGCTGTGTGGGACTGATGCATTCTTGAACATGTCTGACTTACCTTGGCGGATATCTCAATGCATGCAGGAGCTGAATGACATGCAAGTGAGCATGCACAGCCAGCAGCAGGTCCAAGTGGAGGTGGAGCAGGCCAAACCGGACCTGACAGCCGCTCTGCGAGATATCCGCACACAGTATGAGAGCATCGCCGTCAAGAATCTGCAGGAGGCTGAAGAGTGGTACAAATCCAAGGTGCCTAAATTGGGTGCGACAAGAAGGGTGGGAGGGTGGGATGTGACATGTATTCGGAGAGAACCAATGCAGTGTGATGGAGGCTGTGCACCAGAGAGCCCTGGATTTGAATCTGTGGGGAACTGTGAAATTTACTGGGTGCGATAGAATCTATCAATCTGCTTCACAGGATTAGTGAGAGGATAACTGGGGGGAAATCCTATCTACATCTCTCTGTGCTCTTTGGAGAGGATACAACTGTGATTGATAGGTAGACAGTGCAAGGGTGGACGTAGCCGAAGAAGTGGGGAGCGGTTTCATCCCAAGCCCAGTATGTCAGGGTTAGAGCTCTGCTGCAGCCCCCCAGAACTCCTACCCCATTCTTCCAGTTGACCCACAGTCTTTTAGAAACTTTATGTCTTGCATATATTTATGCTCATCTTGGATCGTAATAAATATGGACTGACTGAACTTTATGTCAGTATTTAGGAGCTTGTTACCTTTTCCTCTGTTGTCGATACTGGCCTGTCTGCCTTTAAGGGCCATTATATACATTATACTTTTGGGTTGCAGGGTGGGGGGTACAGATAAAAGGTTTCCACCTGCATACTTATAAAGAGCGAGTGCAACAAACATGCATTTGAGAACCCAGCTGTACTTGTCAGGGAGGCAGGATTGGCCACAACCCCCAGTTGAGTATACACTTTGTGTGCTGGAAGACAAAGGCAGGCCAGCAGATCTGAGCGACAGCAGGCAGAAAACTGGGAACCACAGTCTTGAACATCTCCCCTGGGAAGCCAGGCACTGTTGTCAGGTGCCCTTACCCACCAGATAAGGGTTTCCTTGTCCTCAAGGGAGCTTCACCATCTGGATGTTGAGTTGGAGGAAAATTCTCTCTCTCCTGCACACACGTACACTTCCTTGTGGAACCGCAGCCACCATGCACATATCGAAATGGAAAGGTCCGTTTCCAAAATATGCAGAAATGAGTTTTCCAGTGGATCTGTAGGGGAACTAGAGGAACCCCCCGGAGCTGCTACCTAAAACATCTCAGTATGCATCCTTGTATCACAGATGATAGAAATGTGTGGTCTTCACATTTTGTTTGCTAAATGAAAAATGGTCTTGGGCAGCCGTGCTTTTGAACAGAGAAATGGTGGAAGTGAAGGTGTTGCTTAACCCTTTGCCCACTGGCTGCTTCCCAGAAGCAGCTGAGAGGGATATTTTGAATAGGAAAAAATGGCTGGCAGGGGAAAAAAACCCAGTAGTCCCATGAACACATTTATTTTCAAGATCCATTTAATATATAGTTCTCAAATAGAGGATGTATCAGATATTAAACTGATAAGAACAGATATGACACTTGTTTGGTGTAGTGGTTAGGAGTGCGGACTCTAATCTGGGAGAACAAGGTTTGATTCCCCACTCCTCCTCCACGTGCAGCTGCTGGTGTAACCTTGGGTCAGTTACAAGTTCTTTCAGAGCTGTTCTCTCACAAGCAGTTCTCGAAAGAGCTCTCTAAGCTCCACCTACCTCACAGGGTGTCTGTTGTGAGGAGGGGAAAGGAAAGGAGATTGATTCTGAGACTCCTTCAGGTAGTGAAGGGCGGGGTATAAATCCGATATCCTCTTCTTGGTCTTAGCCAAAAGGCCAAGAAGTGATACAAACACATGAAGGTTCATTATACTGACTCAGGATATTGGTCATTGGTCTATCAAGGTCAACATTTTCTGTTCTGACTGGCAGCAGCCCTCCAGGGTATCAGGTTTTGTTCCACCATTTCTCTGGTTGCAATTGCAGCCTTCCTGGGCCGTTTTTCATTTTAAAACAATAACACCTTGATGCTCCATTGTATGCATTTGCACATCACAGGGGGCTTTGCCCCTTGGAGGCTGCTGAGGACCGACTCCAAAGAGGCAGCCTTGTAGGCATCAGACAGGAGGAGGAATGAGTCTGTTTCACACATTTAAAGATTTTACATTGGATTGAAGCAGGACAGCTCCATAACAGGAGACTGTCAGTGCCATCCTGAACAGAGTGACACCCTCGGAAGCCCATTCCAGTGGCTTCATTGTACTTAAAAAGGTACAGCTCTGCTTAGGATCGCACTGCGTGTTGGTCCCCTGCTTCCCTGAACACATGAAGCTGCCTTATACTGACTCAGACCCTTGGTCCGTCAAGGCCAGCATTGCCTACTCAGGCTGGCAGCAGCTCTCCAGGGTCTCAGGCTGAGGTCTTTCACATTACCTACTGCCTGGTCCTTTTAACTGGAGGTGCCAGGAACTGAACCCGGGGCCTTCTGCGTGCCTGGGGCCTTCTCCTCTGCCATTGAGCCACAGCCCCTCCCTCACAAATGCTTTAACCCTCCCGTTTCTTGCAGTTTGCCGACCTGTCGGATGCAGCTAATCGGAACCACGAGGCACTTCGCCAGGCCAAGCACGAGATGAATGAATCTCGGCGCCAAATCCAGAGTCTCACTTGCGAGGTGGATGGACTCAAGGGAACAGTGAGTAGGCCCCAGGTCCTATCCTGAGCTTCTTGCCCGGGGCAGCCACTCCGCTTCCTCTCCATGCTAAGCGCCCTGCTTTGTATCCCAAGGTATATCACCTGTGCTCCATGGGAGCAGGCAGGAGCTTTATGTAAGTGGTGCAATTAGGGCTGCCAGTTTTAAGACTGGTCCCTTTGGCTGTTCCTTTAATATCAGCTTGATCTGCAGCAATTAGCGGGGTCATGTTATTTAGCTCCGTGCCATGAAAAGTTTCATCTGAAGATTTCTGTATATTAAATCTCAGTTAAAGGGACAGGACATTTTCTTCCTGGCTTGTTGGCAACTTTTGGTGGAATTGGGCTCTCAGCGCATGCATGAGGCCTGGACTCAACCACAGTTTGGCTCCCAGCACCTATTTTCAGTGGTCAGTTAAAAGAACCCATGATTACAGTCTGTATAAATGCAGCCAAGGGAGCCTCTGCCTCACCCAGACGGCTTTTTGACTTATCTAAGGTTCCTTTTTTAAAAAAAATAACACCCATTCCTCTTGGGAAGATTCTGATTAGAATAGGAATTGGTTTTAAAATTAGGAAAAGTCTAGTTGCCCTGCCAAAATAGGAATGCCCAGTCTTCATTGAACTCTGTCCTCTCACCCACGGCCCAAGGTGGATTTTTTTCAAGGTTTTTGTCAACTTTATGTTTAAGCAACCCTGAAAGAAATCTCCCTTTGGGTACAATGACTGTGCGAGGTAAGGTGCTTAAACCCGGGGGCGGGGGGGAATGGACCAATTCTAATGAATAGGGTTCCCAAGTACTTACCGCGATCTGGCAGGGGAAAACATGCTCCTTGGCCGGACCATTCCTCCCTGTAACGCACCATGCCGTCACCAGGAAGTGACGGCGGGCGACGCTCTGGCAATGGGGCTGGAAACTTGATGGTACCATCGAGTTTTGATGGTACCAAACTTGATGGTACCATCGAGTTTTCAGCCCCATTGCCAGAGCGTCGCCCGCCGTCACTTCCTGGCGACGGCATGGTGTGGCGCGTCTGTTGTCACCGTGGGAATGATCCTGCGAAGACATCTGTGTCCCCCACCGAATCACGGTAAGTACTTGGGAAGCCTGCTAATGAAGCATTATTTCTTCAAGGAAGGAACAGGTAAAAGCTTTTGAACTATGAAAAGCTAACTGTTCTTGCTAAACTTCTAGAGTTTTGGACTAATAATTAGTCAGCACTACAAAAACACAGAAATGCTTATGTGTGGTGACAGAGTTCTAGAGGTTTCTGTTGCTTATGAGGAAGTCACTGATTTTCTACTTGGAAATGTGGCAGTCCCACCCAGTGAGGAAAGGTGGCCACAGGCTGCATTGACTCTTGAGCCTTGTGTCAGAAACCAGCCTAGACCTCTGCTTTGCTGGCTCACCTTCTCCTGCTTATTTGGGAATTCGGAATAGGATTTCAGGGTGTGGAGCTGTGATTTTCAGGTAAAGGTACAGGGGCTCTCACCTACATTTGACACATCTAAGTCACTCACCACCCCAGAATGAAGCCCTGCTGAGGCAGATGCGGGATCTGGAGGACCAATATGGGGCTGAGGTGAACTCCTACCAGGACACAGTGGCGCGGCTGGAACAGGAGATCCAGCACATGAAGGAAGAGATGGCTCGGCACCTGCGGGAGTACCAGGACCTACTGAACGTCAAGATGGCCCTCGACATTGAGATCGCCACCTACCGCAAGCTGCTAGAGGGAGAGGAAAGCAGGTGGGTTCCCCAGGCCACTAATTCCCTCCAGCTTGGCATGGCTCAACTCCTTTCCTTTCTGCCAATGCCGAATGGATCAAAGAGAACAATACTAAAAGAAGGGGTGCTTATGGAGTCGGTTGCAGGAGCTTATTCTGTTGCTTCTTACTCTGTGTTTCCTACAGGATTTCGGTGCCTGTCCAATCCATGTCGACATTCAGCATCAAAACAGCAGGCAAGTCTGTCACTCCGTAGGGAATGGCTCAAGTTTTGCATCATGCGTGTTCGTGCCTGTGGGTTTCTGGAAGCGCACATGCAGAGATCTGTTGGTGGCATTGGCACAAGTAGGAGACTGTGTGTTTGTGTGAGCTTCTGTGTGCATGTCATTCTGATGCGCATTTCTTGCTTCCCGTTAACCAATCCCCAACCCGAAGCTGGTTTATTGTTGACCTAGCAGAGAGCACATGGGGTGGTTGCTAAGCTCTGTTGCAGAGAATCCTCTTCTGCCCTCTTGACACTGACAATCCAAGCTTAGTCTGCTGTCCCTTGGGGAGAAGTATCTCACCTCCAGTTCATTCTGAGCTCACCTGCCATCACCCTTCTAAGGGTGAGAGAAGGGTTTTTTTTGACTCTCCTGTGCCCTCTCTCCTAACGGCCTCCCATCCCTATAGTTTCAGAGCCTGAGCCGACTGTAGAAACTCATACCAGGAAGACGGTTCTGATCAAAACCATTGAGACTCGAGATGGAGAGGTGAGCATATTAATGATCTCCATTGGGAGTCAGGGGCTTTGAACGTGGCTGCTGAGCATGAACAAAAGTAGCCAGAATATCGACAGAGAAGCGCATACCTAGGCCTGGAGCAGGTTTTGCTAGAGTAAAAAGGGTGGGTTTTTTTATAATTATCTCCAGCTCCTGCTTTCTCCTTGGGTCATTTGGAGCTGTGTGTTCATTATGTGCTTTTGGCTGCTCCTGCTCTGTTGTGTAGACTCTGTGACTGTACCTGTGAGAGGCAGGTTGGGGGTAATCTCCTGTCTTGTAGGGTGGGATCAGGAGCTGGTTGTGTTTTAGCCCCTTCCAGTCCTAAAATAAGGGCTGTGTGTACTCTGTGCTTCAACGAAATGGTAACCTGCATTCTGGGGCCTGTATAAATTATGTAAGCTATTTTAATTGGCATGTAATAGCTTCTTTTGCATAATTCATTCTTCTTCTGCCAGTAATGGGGAAGGAATATGGAGCTATTCAGGGGACTGAAGCCTATCTCTGACTACAGAGGCATTACCCATATATATCAAACCAACATTTACGGACTTAGGGACTAGAAACTTGCTTTTTTAAAATCTCTCCCCCCCTCCCCCGGATGTTGTATTTTTCCACCCTCTTCAAAATCCAGTGTGGCACTCACACAAAATCATGGAATACATACAGCCCTCTCTACCATTTTGTGACCTGATGACCATGGCTGATTCCATCCCCACAAGTCCAAGAGTCTCAACGCTGCACCCTGTCTCTTTGTCCCCTGCAGGTGGTGACTGAGTCCAGGAAAGAGCAGAGAGCAGAGCTAGAAAAGTGATGTCGACCACAGCAGACACCTACCCTTGCCACAGAGATGGGCACTAAGTAGCCAATGTGCAGAAGTCCCAGCAGCAAACCCCCCCTATTCCTCACAAAGCCACACTGGCCTTACTTATAATGTTGCTAATACCTCTTACCTTCAACAGCCTTTCCCACACTTCTAGAGCCAGCTCTCCTGTTACATGTGCCTCTAGCCTTCCTAGGGGCAGCCTGGTTGTGATTCCAGCAATAACCACACATGGGCTGGGAGTGGAGATTTCTTCATCTGCTCTCCCCTTCCACTGCCTCCTACCTCTTGCCACTCAGACTCTCATCTTGCCCCAGAAGGCCCACTCCCAGCCAGCACTGGACAGGAAAGGGGAAG